AGAAACGGTTTACCTTTTCCTTTCCAATTCAGGTACCTTTTATTTCATTGTGTTGCCTAATCTCTCTAATAGTACAATGTTTAATACAAGTCAAAAGACATCTCTGTCCTACTACTGACCACCAGGGAGAGCATCTGTAGGTCACTAGATTCCGTTTGCTCAACGAAGCATTTTCCGTCCATCTCCATGCGAGCGTGGCATGCAGTTGCCTTTAGTTGTGACGGCTCTGCCAGCCTGGTTCTGCCAGCAGGGTAAACGGGCCTCACAGAACCAGGGGGAAGGAAGTGTTCCCTCCCCTTAGACTTTCGGAAGCACTAGTGGACGACTGATATTACTGGAATGTTTGGAAGAATTCACTTGGGAAATTTATCTAGACCCTTCTTTGTGGATAGTTGATTACTAGTTAAAATCTTTTTCGTTCTTACGTGTTGATTCATGTTTCTGGGTTTTAGGTTTTGGTTTGGTTTGGTTCGTGGGCCACCCTTGCAGTGATCAGGGCTTACTCCGGGCTCTGCACTCAGGAATTTACTCCTACTGGGGGGTTGGGGGACAATATAGGATGCTGGGGATCAAACTCAGGTAGGTCATATGCAAGGCAAGCCTCGCCCCGCTGTATTATCATTCCAAGTCCCTTATTTTCCAATTTTCAGTAGAATCGGTTTTGTCAGAAGTCACTTCCTTTAATCCTCAAGTACTCTGGGTAGCTTGGCTAGCTATGTATTCTCCCTGTTTCTGTCTGTCTGGAAACGATTTTTTTTGGGACATGTGTATTTTTTAATCACTGAAGATAAAACATCCTTCTGAGTAAAAGGGCCTGCTGTATGAATATATCAGTGCAATTAAAAATACTGTAATTATATTTCAGAACTTCGGTTTGATAGGTGCCAGCATTCTGTTTCATATGGGAAAAAATTCCTGTGATAATCACTTGAAGTTTGGACAAAACTCCACAGCTCTATTCTTAGAATAATTCTGCAGGCTTCATAATTCAGATGAGCTTCGGTTTAACCCTTGAGAGAAGACAGTCCAGCTTGCGTAATCTCTTCCACCAGGAGGATGTTGGTGGCGATTGGTGCAGGCATGAAGAAGTTGTTTCTTTACACAGTCGTTGTCCCAAACACCCAATTATGTTGCAAACTTGTTCAAGTTCACACTGGGAATTTTGAAAGGCTTCCTTTCTTTCCGAAGGGCAGTTTGTGGCTCTGGGAATCCCCGTGACCGGCTCTGTCCACACTGTGAACATGGCATTCGGCTGCCTTCTGGCCTCCAGGTTTGGAAGAGAAACCAACCTTCCACCTTTCTGGAACTGCCTTCGTGCTTGTGCCGAGTGGTTTTTGCTTGTTCATTTCAAATGTTTCTCTTGTCTGATCGCTTTGACCACGATGGCCTTTTACTGTAGATCCCTTTTCTTGCATTTCTTTGGTGTGTGATACTTTTTATCGCGTGTGGTGTGTTTTAATCCACTGATGCCGGGATGTTTTCTTCTGTTCCTTTCTGTGTCTCTTCTCCAGTCCTGCCCTGCCCATCATATATGTCGCCCATCATATATGCTGGGGAACTTAATAGCTATCTACTGAATGCCCATGTTCATGGCAGTTACTCAGCACAGAGAAACTCCCGAAAGCTCACAAGCTATATGCCAGGCCCCCGAGGGTGGTACCGATTTAGGAGGATGACGGGCCAGAAACCTGTAATGTTCTATTAACAGATATTCACAAGGCAATATGATTGCTGAACTAGGAACCATAACATACATATATATATATATACATACATATATATATAATAAAAGAAACAGGCTTTTTTTAAAGAGTTTAGAAGATCTCGGACCGGAAGGATGGGGCAGTGGGTAAGATGACTGCCTTGGATGAGGCTGACTTGGATTCGATCCCTGGCACCCCACCTGGTCCCCTAAGCCTAGCCCGGAGTGATCCAGGTGTAATAATCCCTGAGCATCGGCAAGTGTGATCCCAGTGTGACAAGGACGGGGTGCTCACACGGAAGCTCGGGAGGAACAGCCAAGGAGGCGAGGGGCTGAGACATGGCATTTCTCAGTCACAGAGCTCCAGGCAGAGGCGACATCCTGTTCCAAGGTTCAGAACTGAGCCTGGTCAAGGAGTTAGGGCGCAGGGGTCACGGGGCACGGGGGTCGAGTGGAATGTGGCACCCACAGGGGAGAGAGAGAGAGTGAGGGGCCAGCCCACTCCCGCTTCTGCACTAAAGAAATGAAGTTGAGTGTGAGCGACCTCGACCAGCTAGCACACCTCCCCTTGGCCCTAGTTTGGAATGCAACGACGCACGCCCTCACCGGAAGTCGAGTTTCCGTCTAGTCTTTAGGTGGTTGCCAGAAAGAGAGCGTAAGGGGAACTTACTAATGTTTGCGAGCGGGTTGTTTCATTTGTAAAATGGGAACAATAACCCGAGTGTTCAGACTCACTGTGCAGACCAGGGAGTCTGTGGGCTTCCCAGCGAGTGCCAGGGGACACATTAAGGACACCCCAAACTGCTTCTGTACAGCAGAGATGCCAGAGAAAAAGGAACATGGAAAAACCGGGTTCCACTCTGGGATTGTGTGGTAGGAATGCTTGAGAAATGAAATGACTTTAGGAATGCAGGCTTCCAAACGGGGTACAATGTAGCACTGCACTGTACTGTTCTCCCGCTGTTCATTGATTTGCTTGAGCGGGTCCAGTAATGTCTTCAATGTGACACTTGTTGTTACTGTGTTTGGCATATCGAATACATCACAGGGAGCTTGCCAGGCTTTGCCTTGCAGGCAAGGTACTCTCGGTAGCTTGCCGGGCTCTCTGAGATGGGTGGAGGATTCAAACTAGGGTCGGCCGGGTCAGCCGAGTGCAAGGCAAATGCCCTACCGCTGTGCTATCGCTCCAGTCCATCATCAGTTAACGAAATACAAATTAAAATCAAAAGTTAGCACTATACACATAGCAGACTGGCATTAACCAGTGACATCACCAAATGCTGCTGAGGCGGAAGACAGTGGCCCAGGGTACAATGTATACAGCAACAATGTGAAAATAGTAACAAAAGAACCAAGTTAGCTGGTGATGTGATTCCCCTCCCCCTACCCCCCCAGCATGTAAACTTTTCAAAAAAAAGAAAAGCTGGTCTTAAATTTTGGAGGAAAAATTCCAAATCCCATCATTCTAAAATAACTAGTCTCGCTTTATAGATTTCTCTCCAAATATTTTCAACAGGATAGTGTGAAGGCATTTCTATTCCATTTTACAGTTTTGACCTCACTTGGATCAAACGAATGCTGGGTTAATTATGATGCAAAGGTATTCACTTTTGTAAAAGCAAAAAAAATAAGATTTGGCTACATTTAAGATAGAACAACTCATCATAATTTGATTGATACCCAACTTAGAGTAACACATTTGAGATATAAAAAGAGGCACCTCGTATACATTTGGTGCCGTGTAATTATTTCCTAATTTTATTTGTCTTATTGTCAACTTGAACCATTTATTTCTAGCTATTCCTTTTTTCTTCCCTGTAAAGGTAAAGGTAAAAGGTAAAGGCCCTTCCGTTGATCATCAATTTGCTCGAGCGGGCCCAGTAACGTCTCCATTGGAGACTTTGTTGTTACTGTGTTTGGCATATTGAATACGTCATGGGGAGCTTGCCAGGCTCTGCCGTGTGGGCGAGATACTCTCGGTAGCTTGCCGGGCTCTCCGAGAGGGGCGGAAGAATCGAACTGGGGTCGGCCATGTTGGCTGCGTGCAAGGCAAACGCCCTACCGCTGTGCTATTGCTCCAGCCCTAAGACTTCCCTGTAGTCTTATTTAATAAAAACTAATACTAAAAATATTTATAGTAATCCTACATAGTAAAATATCATAGTACACTTGACAAAGGAAGCATCAAGCTATAGCCTTTTTATAAAAAACAGAAAATTCTACCTAAAGGGTGACCATAACAAAATCAAATATTTTTCACATTAGTATATAATTATTATCATCATCATCAGGAAACCATAAATAACCTAAATATTGAGGTAAATTTCCCAGGGGCAAAAAAGAAATGCAATTCTATATAAAAAGCTTATTCTGGGGGCTGGAGTGATAGTACAGTGGGTAGGGCATTTGCCTTGCACGCGGCCAACCCGGGTTCGATTTCCAGCATCCCATATGGCCCTGCCAGGAGTAATTCTTGAGTGCAAAGCCAGGAGTAACCCCTGTGCACTGCCGGGTGTGACCCAAAAAGCAAAGAAAAAAAGTTTATTCTGGAATTTTCAAGAATTATGAAATTCTTTATTATTGAGAATACAAACTATAAATCCAAAGAAGATACGAATGCTCTTGGAAATTCTTAAGTTTAAAGAGCTACTATTCCAGATAAAAGAAAATATTCTTATAAACTTACTGAGTTGTAGTACTTACAAATTATCTGAGTAGAATTTGCATAAATGTCCCCCAAAATTGATCATCCAGCCTTCAAATCATTTAAACTTACGGATGCTAAACTTTCAAAGATGAAGGTATGACTGAACCCTCATCAAAGCTACACTGTGATCTCTCAAAGACATTTATAACTCTCCTGGCTCCTCATCCTCATCCTACCATGAAAAATGTAAAATGTGCCAGAAAGTATGTGAAGGAACATACTGAAAAACATGTAAATAAATTTCAATTTTTTAAAAGCCCAAAGTTACTAACAGAGTAAATCTTCTGTTTCCACTTTAAAATACAAAACAATAAGACGAAAAAAACATTAAGGTAAAACAATTGTGACTAAATGACGAGTTGTATAAAACATTCATTCCTTAGTTCGGCTAGTCAGTCTTCAAATAATGGTGAATCTAGACATAAAGCAAGCATATTGATCTTACATTGACTTCAGTATCAATCAATTCACTTCAATTGACGAATTAAATTTCTTACGTAGAAATTTGTCCACTATGTCAATCAGTTTACATAAATAAATGAATATCTTCATCTTTAATAACCTTTCTAAAAGTCTCCAGTGAAAACCTACCTTTGAGGTTCTTTGAAGTTGATCCCCAACATACGTTTTACGAAACTGGTCCAGGAACCACAGAACTGCCAACTCTATCTTCTCGTTAGAGCATCGGGGTAACCCGGTATCCATTAACGAGATCAGCTGAAAAACTCTATTCATGAAGGAAAAAGATACAATTTCAGTAAAATTTCTCTAAATTTTATCATACACAGGGTAAGCTTCTCATATAGGACTGCTTCTTTTCTTTTTTGCCTGGCTGGAGCGATAGCACGGCGGTAGGGCGTTTGCCTTGCATGCAGCCAACCTGGCCGACCCGAGTTCGATTCCTCCGCCCCTCTCGGAGAGCCCGGCAAGCTACCGAGAGTATTCAATATGCCAGACACAGTAACAACAAAGTCTCCAATGGAGACGTTACTGGGCCCGCTCGAGCAAATCGATGATCAACGGGAGGGCCTTTCTTTCTTTCCTTTTCTTTTCTTTTTTGCCTTGGGAAATTTAGCTCAATATTTAGGTTATTTATGGTTTTCTGATAATATTTATAAGCGTTTATTGTTAATGTAATATATCACTATCACTATCACCCCATTGTTCTTCAATTCGCTTGAGCGGGCCCAGTAATGTCTCCATTCGTCCCTGTCAAGTGCAAGTGTAGCCCGATGACATATTGGGGACTCCTTCAGGGTCGGGGGAATGAGGACCATTCATTGTTACTGTATTTGACATATCGAGCACGCCACGGATAGCTTGTCAGGCTCTGCCGTGTGGGCGGGATACTCTCAGTAGCTTGCCAGGCTCTCCGAGATGGAGGGAGGCTTTTGGGGCAGCCTCTAATCACCTTTACAGATGTTCCTAGTCAGGCATATAGGCGGGTATGATATTCTCAGTAGCCTGCCGAGTTCTCTGAGAGTGAGAACTAGAGAATAAGAGGTCTAAGAATAAGAATAATAGAGTATAAGCTTCCGGGACCTTGGTTTTATAGTCTCTGGATGGCCGTTGATGGGGTTACACAGCAGTTGGTGGGTGTAACTGTCTAGCTACTGGCAGGTGGGGGAGCTGGTGGAGGAGGCCCAGACCCAAACCGAGCAGGCCTGGAGATCTCAGCCCCGGGTCCCGCACAACTGTAATATATAATGTAATATAAATGCAATATATAATCACTGTAAAATGTGGGAAAGATATGAAAGCCAATAAATGCAGTATTTTCCCAATCATCTGAAATTCCACCATCAGGAAGAGATACTACCATCTGGCTTAAGTTTCTCCGCAGTTTCTTCTTGAGACATTCACATTACATATAAGCCTGCATACGTGCACAGACTTATTATTTTACTCCGAGTTGGTATAAAAAAGCATAACATAACATATAATCATATATCTACACAGATTAAATGTGTACATAATTGTGCATGATTTAGTTTGATTAAAATATGTAGAATAAAATCTAGTCATATGCACACACAGATATATCTATGCAGATACAACGTTTTAGTAAAAGGAGGATACTGATGCACAATTTTAATTTTACTTTCCGTTTATATATACATGTATACGCACATATAATTTGGGAGTGGGTGGGGATCAACGAAGGGCCACACAAATCCAAGGCACTGCTCTACAGTTGAACTACATCTCCTGATTGTCATTCAATTGTATTTTATTTTTTTGCTTTTTGGGTCACACCCGGCGATGCTCAGGGGTTACTCCTGGCTCATGCACTCAGGAATCACTCCTGGCGGTGCTCGGGGCACCATATGGGATGCTGGGAATCAAACCTGTGTCAGCCATGTTGGCTGCGTGCAAGGCAAACGCCCTACCCGCTGTGCTATCGCTCCAGCCCCTCAACTGTATTTTTATGTTATTCAGTATCTGGGGCGGGGGGGGGGGGTCACATGATTCAAAATACAAAAGGAGCCAAGAGGCACAACTATAAAATTACATAGCACCTTCTATAAATTCATAAAATTCTTTTTTTTAAATTTTTTTTATCATTTTTTTTATTAGTGAAACACCATGAAGTACACTTATAGACTTATAAATTTTTGTGCTTGGGTTTCAGTTATACAATGATCAAGTACCCATCCCTCCACCAGTGCCCATCCTCCCCCACCACGGGTCCTAGCATCCCTCCCACCCCCCATTCCCCCCCCCCCCCGTCCCACCCTGCCGCTGTGGCAGGGCATTCCCCCTTGTTCTCTCTCTCTTCTTTTGGGTACTGTGTTTTGCCAGAGAGGCATTGAGTGGCAATCATGTTTGGTCTATAGACTACTTTTAGCAATATAAATTCATAAAATTCTTACTCGAAATAACCACAAGATGATCTTAAAAAACAAGTACTTTTGATTCAAGCACGTGAATATTCTGATCAGAAAAGTACACGATAACCTAGATGCTAAGTAAAGATACCTAGACAAAAAAAATTACTGTAATGAGGAGTTTAGATTCAAATTTTTCACTGACCCACATGGACGCAACAGCGCAAAGCAGGCAGAGGTGGGGCTGGAGCGATAGCACAGCGGGAAGGATGTTTGCTTTGCACGCAGCCGACATGGGTTCAATTCCCAGCATCCCATATGGTCCCCTGAGCACCGCCAGGAGTAATTCCTGAGTGCATGAGCCAGGAGTAAGCCCTGTGCATCACCGGGTGTGACCCAAAAAGCAAAAAAAAAAAAAAAAAAAAAAAAAAAAAGGCAGGCAGAGGGGACAGGGGACAGTCACTTAGGGGCACGAAGCCAGAGGCAAAAATCAGCAAGACAGCTTGCAATCTCTGAGCAATACGGAGGGATCAGCTGAGATTGAACAAAGAATTGTTTTTAGCTGGTAATAGTACCTACCTATAAACAGAGAGGTGCGATTTCTTTTTATATCATTCAAGAAATTAGAGGAACTCCTGAATTCTATTAGGGTTAAGATTCTGCCAGGCAGGGGGCCGGAGCAATAGCACAGCGGGTAGGGCATTTGCCTTGCATGCAGACCTGGGTTCAATTCCTGGCATCCCATATGGTCCCCCATGCACCACAAGGAGAAATTCCTGAGTGCAGAGCCAGGAGTAACCCCTGAGCATCGCGGGATGTGTTTCAAAAACAAACAGGCAAATTATGCTACAAACACAGCAGTGAAGTGGCAGATAAAACTTATTTCTGCTTTTTCCAGTGAATTTAACAAGAAGCACTAATCCCTTGAAGAAAACTAACTTCAGATGAAAATATTATACTGGGCTGGAGAGAGGGTACAGGGGTTAGCCTGGTCCCATCCTGTGCAGCTCAGGGTCCCCCCTAACCCTCCCCAAGTCAACCCTGGAGGTTCCTGAGCACCACTGGGCATGGCCCTGGGGCAGCACCTGACCCTTGGGTACTTGCATTAAACTACCAGTTGGGTCTGCCAAGCTTGGGAGAACCCTCCCCCCAACCCCCGAATGCTATCTGAATGGGGGGTGGGGGTCAAAGGAAGACACATTTGAGTACAGAGCTCACTCAAAGGTGAAAAGATAGTTCGTGTGCTGAGTTGCATGGGTGCATCCTTAGCACAGGGTCTCTGGAAGCACAGCTGAGAGCCACCCCTAGGAGAGAGGACAAAGGCAGGGGAAGACCAGGAGACAGGAGGGAAGTGCACGAACATCTAGGGGGAAGCACATGCCACCAGAGGGAAGTGCCGAGTCCCCGAGTGATACCCAGGGGTGCCGGTGGGCCAAGGCAGGGGGGCTGGAGAAGGGGCTGGGGTGTTCTGGGCAATGGCAGGGCCGCCGGACGCTGGTGGGGAAGAGTGTGGACGGGGAAAGACGGGCCAGGACTTGGGAGAGAGAAGGACCCTGAGCAGAGACGGCATGAGGGGACAGAGGGGCAGCCCCTTGGGGCAGGCGCAGTCGAGGGGGGCACGGGACAGGGATGACCACCTCCCCGAGTTTCTCCAGAGCATCCCATTCTGGTCACGAGGAGCAAAGCGGGAGTGACGATAAATTTTCATCATCGAATTAGAATTCATGTGGCCTGAGCACAAAGGTACTTATTTGCTGGTATTTAAGTTAAAGGCAGACTTTAATTACGTTAAAGAACACGTTTTAATTATCACTATCACAAGACTGGGAGCTTTTTGTGATATTAACCTGTTTCTGATAAAACAGCAGAGGTTTTTTTTTTTTTTTTTGGCAGGAACCTCACGATTTTCTAATTGGGTTGTGTTCTCCCAGGAGTTGGAAAGGTATCGTCAGAGCAGCGAGCCACGGAACGCGGCGTGCCTGGAGCCCCCACCGGTGTATGTGGCTTCTTCATGGGAAACTGATGGTTTGGAATTTTACCCAAAACATTATCATTGAAAGCCTCAACGCGTCAAAGCAGGGCTGGAGAGACAGTCCAGCGGGGAGGACGTTTGCCTCAGATGCAGCCGACCTGGTTCAATCCCCAGCATCCCACATGGTCCCTTGAGCACCACCATAAATAACTCTTGAGTGCAGAGTCAGGAGAAAGCTCTGAGCACCACTGGGGGTGGCCCCAAAGGTCACAAAACCAACCAACCAACCAAACAAACAAACAAAACACTGCTGTTTCGAAATGAAATGCCTGAGTGCCGTATACACACGGGCACTGTGGATGTGCCCGGTTCTATTCACGCACCCACCGGCCCCACCGTGGCTCACCCACCCTGCCCTTGCAGCCCATGGAAGATCCGAGAAGCTCCTCCATGAAGGACCCTGGCCCGGCCAAGGAGCACAACCAAGGAGTAGGGGCAAGCGAAGCAGCCCAGGAGCAGGTGTGACTGGCCGCCAGGAGTTCCGTGCAGGAGAGCCCCATGCAGAAGGAAAGCAGTGCTGGAGGGACCGCAGAACTGGGCTCCTGCAGAAGCCCCTCGCTCTACGTTCAGCGACCAATCAAGGCCGAACCTTGTTGGATGCGTTTCTAAGTGGAAGAAAATGTAGGTAAACACAAGATTCATTGTGAAATGAAAGCGGCAAAAGTCAGGAATAGAAAAGAAAGTCCGCCGTCCCTGAGAACTTCAAGAAACACAAATGAAGGCACTTGTTATCTCTCACTGGAAACTACAAAATGATATTATCAGGTGCTCAAAGGCACCAAACAGGGGGATGCTCGTAGCCCACTGGGTCTGGTGGACAAACTGGCCCATCAGCCTTGCCAGAAGCACACTGGATACTGAAAGCCTTCAACAGCAACAGTGGACCCTCTCGGAGGGAGGTTTCTGCTCAGTGAATGGAAGGAATCCCCACCCTCACAGTAGGTCACATAAAGGAAAACGCTGAGAAACGACCCCAAAAATTCCAAAACAAGGATCAGCCTTAAGTACATCTTATACTATTTCGTGTTTAGATAAAATGTGGGGTTTGGGACTTTATTTTTGGTAATACATTTACGGTCAGGAATTTAAAACATTAACTCATTTAATCCTTTCTATCATCTCTTATTGTAGGATAACACTGGCTTGTCTAGCTAGTCTTTTCTCTCTGCCACAAGAAGCTTAGGTTTACTGAGTAATACCCAGAACAATGCTCAGGAAACACTCCCATTTCCTCAGTATTCATCTTTAACTTTCTGTACTCTGCTTTCTCTACCAGTTAATCACTCATTTCCCCTAAGCAGTACTCGTGACTTGTAAAGTTAAATTCCTCAGAAATCTCTGATTTTGTATTTGAAATATTGCTTTTCTCCTTCCCTTATGTCCTTTTGCATAGTTTATTTTAGAGCAATGTCTTTTTTGTATAGACACAGGAAGACAGTTTAATGCTGTGCTTTTGTAACTTGGGATTTAAATGTCACTGTCACTGTCACTGTCCTCCCGTTGTTCATCGATTTGCTCGAGCGGGCCCAGTAACGTCTCCATTGGAGACTCTGTTGTTACTGTGTTTGGCATATCGAATACTTCACGGTGAGCTTGCCAGGCTCTGCCATGCGGGCGAGATACTCTCGGTAGCTTGCCGGGCTCTCTGAGAGGGAGTTAAATGATTCCAAGTAATATTCACTCCTGGGCATCTGTTTACCCGAGTTAAGCCTCAGTTGCCCTTAGTTCCTAGCACCCCAAAAGCAGGGTTCCAGTGAGGGACTGGATGGACCCAGGACAAGCTGTGAGTTACCCTGGCATCGAACAAAGCACCATAATATTTAACTATAAGTTAAGAGCATGGTCATGGACAAATTCTGTCATGATCCAAAGAAAACAACTGGACAAGGACCCTGTTTAGGGTTAGGAAAGACTAATCTGGCCTGAGCACTGTAGTCTGGGATCTATAGTGAGATGTCCCCAGGAGAGCCACCCTACAAGCTTAATGCATCTCTTATGGCCGACCCGAGTTCGATTCCTCCGCCCCTCTCGGAGAGCCCGGCAAGTTACCGAGAGTATCTCGCCCGCACGGCAGAGCCTGGCAAGCTCCCCGTGACGTATTCGACATGCCAGACACAGTAACAACAAAGTCTCCAATGGAGGCGTTACTGGGCCCGCCCGAGCAAATCGATGATCAACGGGAGGGCCTTTACCTTTACCTTACCTTTTACTGTGTCCATACAAAATGACTAATATTAAGAAGTAGCATATTAATATTCAAGAGCGTCGAAGAAATAACTAAGAGGATGAAGAACTTCCAGCTCCGAGCACATCTCTTCGATTCCACTGTTCTTCCTGCATTAATATATGCCTCAGAGACCTGGGCCCTACGAAAACAGGATGAGAACGCTATTGGGGTCTCTCAAAGTGGAATCAAAAGAGCTATGCTTGGAGTATCATGCTTCACTCAAATGAGAGAAAGAATCTGGAGTTCCGACCTCCATCAACGCTCAAGAATCAGGGACGCTGTCTCATTTGCCAAGGCATCAAAAATCAGATGGGCTGGACACGTAATGAGATTTAGAGATGACCGCTGGACTAGAGCCATTACCGACTGGATTCTATGGGATGTCAAAAGATCGCGTGGACGCCCACCTACGAGATGGTTAGACTTCTTTGTCAAGACCCTGAATGATCGGTTTGAGGCTCCTCATGTTCGTAGAACGAGCAGATGCCATTGGGCTATGCTAGCACGCAACAGGGATGAATGGAGATGTTACTGGCGCCCGCTCGAGCAAATCGATGAGTAACGGGATATCAAGTGATCAAGTGATTAAGAAGTAGAATTAAGATGAATGTTTAAATGGTTGTTGGACTAAGGAAAGGAGAAACATACCCCTAGATGGTATTTCGCCCTTGATCAGACCTAGCTACAGGAGTTACTGTCACTGTCACTGTCCTCCAGTTGTTCATCAATTTGCTCAAGTGGGCCCAGTAACATCTCCATTGTGAGACTTGTTGTTACCATGCTTGACATATTGAATACATCATGGGTAGCTTGCCAGGCTTTGCCATGCGGGCAAGATTCTCTCAGTAGCTTGCGGGGTTCTCCAAGAGGGGCAAAGGAATTGAACCCGGGTCGGCAGGTCATGCGCAAGGCAAACGCCCTGAGTTGGTGGTAAAGTGGTAGAGTGGTATAGCTATAGGAGATCTCTGTCCTATTTTAGAAGAGCCTCCCTCAGAAGAAAGGGCTTTCATATGTTGACTGTGCCACCTCACCTGGGTGTTTGCTACTGGGGATGCTTGGAGGTTGGGAGCTAGACCAAGGCTGCCCCAAGACTGAGCATGGAGAGACCAGCATGGGGGACAGGAGGAGACGGGAATGAGGAACAGGGGATGGGGAGCTCGGTGAGACTGGAACAGGCACATGGGGCGAATGGAATAAATGGCAGCTGATCACCAACCCGCCTCGTGGCCCTGTTCCCTTCATGTGTCTGCTGGCAGCCGTTGCGAGCCGGGATGCGGAAGCGGCGCATGGCCTCTGAACACATGTGGCGGGCGAGAGGGACCACGCTGCCGCCACTCACTCATTTTATTTTGTGATTACACATCTTGTAATTTATTATTTTAGTTTATAAAACATAACAATACAGTTTACCTTTCGCTTTAAGAAGATTTTTTTTTTTAAATGTAAGCTACGAATCCATACCTTCAAGCGGGAATTTAGGGAACTCAGATGTCTTCAGCAAAATGACAGTAGTAGTTACCTTCAAATTAATATAAGCTTTTTATTTGAGGCTTTTTTTAAAAAAAATTGCTTTTGGGGGTCATATCGGGTGGTGCTCGGGGGTCGCTCCTGGCTCCAGGGCTGACATCTGGGCCTTCCCCACACACAGCAGGTGCTCGGCCGCTCGGCTGGCTCGGGCCCTCATTTGAGCTTTGATGTGCTCCATGAAACAACTTATTACTTTGTTATAAAAAAAGATGCTGCAAAAAATTTCAGCATGTGGAGAACCAACTCGCACGTCATCGTTTTGTACTATGTTTTGAATAAAACAAGCAAATAATTACTTGTTTCTAATTAAGGCCTGTATTGGGAAACTGTCTACCCATTGCTTTTTGAATAGATATATGCCGTCCCAGTTTTGCCAGCAACCCAGTGTCAATTTTACTTCCTTTACCAGGTCTTGGGAGTTAAACCGCAACTCAAACCTTACCTCACCATACTCTCAAACCAGAGTTTAAAACAGAAATGTGCCGTCTATCAAACGGGCTTATAGAAATCACTTAACCTGTAGACCTGTGGTTTTTCTCATCAGTGAAATAAAAAATAACAAACCTTCCCCAAAAGTACAAAATACAGGGCTGGAGTAATAGCACAGTGGGTAGGGCATTTGCCTGGTACGCAGCTGACCCGATTTCGATTCCCAGCATCTCATAGGGTCACCTGAGCACTGCCAGGAGTAACTCCTGTGTGTATGAGCCAGGAGTAACCCCTGTGCACTTTTTCTGGGTGTGACCCCAAAAAAGCAAAAAGCAAAAAAAAAAAAAGTACAAAATACTTGATGTCATAGTATCATCTCAGTGACACATTTCTTTTTCTTTTTCTTCTTTTTTTAAATTTTGGGGCCACAATGGAGGTGCCCAGAGATCAACCCCAGGCCCCCTGCGTGCTAAGTATGTATTCCAAGCCACTGAGTTATCACTCTGGCCCCAGTGACAAAATTCCCTGACTCCTTCGTGACCCTCTGAATTGTCCGCCCAATCCTTACCGGCAGGACAATTCTCCATCCATCGCGTCATGTTCGTCTGTGCTAGTGTAAGTTAATCTTCCTCCAACAACTGTTCCAACCAAGTAGACCAGCCACGCGAGACGTCCTGACATGAACAAGAAAAAAAAAACACTTAGGAAGCACTGCTAGCAAGAGTTCAAATATTATTTTTTCCTTTCAGAAAAGTCCCAGATTAGTGAAAAAAGGATCTATTCTCCCAAACACATGATAAAATAGCATGGAATCCCTTCCTGGCAGAACAGAGTGGATTTTGGATTTACCAGGGTAGCAGGCATGAAAACGACAGACTTTAGAGCCTGGGAACTATGCCCAAGTCCCAACTCCATCAGCGTGCCGTGTCCTATCACGCAAATCACTTAGCTCCTGGGCCGGTAGCAGGCCGGTGCGTGCCTTCCACAGGCCCCACCTGGGTTCCATCCCCTGCACTCAGAGCCCCCGCCACGAGTGATCCCTGAGCACAGAAAGCCAGGAACAAACCCAGGCACCGCTGGGGTGGCCCAAAAGCAAAACCAAAATTACTTGACTCCCTAAGATGAGCTGGAGCGACAGAGTAGGGCGTTTGCCTTGCACACAGCCAACTTGGCTGACCTGAGTTCGATTCCTCCAGCCCTCTTGGAGAGCCCAGCAAGCTACCGAGAGTACCTCGCCCGCATGGCAAAGCCTGGCAAGCTCCCCGTGACGTATTCGATATGCCAAACACACTAACAATAAGTCTCACAACGGAGACGTTACCGGGCCCGCTTGAGCAAATGGATGAACAATGGGAGGACAGTGTCACAGTGCTACAGTCTAAAGCTAAGGCTTTTCACTTAGAAAATGGAGAAAATGATACCTACTGTGAGTATTTATGGTAAGAATTTGCTTTGGGTCAGCAGCATGGATGAGTCTAGAAATGCAGGTATTGGGGGCTGGAGCGATAGCACAGCGGGTGGGGCGTTTGCCTTGCACGCAGCCAACATGGCCTACCCGGGTTCTATTCCCAGCATCCCATATGGTTCCCCGAGCACCGCCAGGAGTAATTCCTGAGTACATGAGCCAGGAGTAACCCCTAAGCATCGCCGGGTGTGACCCAAAAAGCAAAAAAAAAAAAAAAAAAAAAAAAAAAGAAATGCAGGTATCTACTGAACGTCTTTGGGTTTTGTTTCTATTTCATTTCCCTACATACTTTAAAAATTTAGACACTGTGACTTAGAATACCGATGACGGTGTTGCAAGCATGGGGCTCGAGAACCGGCCTGGACAGCAGGGACGATGCATTCCTTAAACGTGACTGACCCGATCCCTTGCACCCCCAAGGGTCCCCTGAGCCCCAACAGAGAGCCAGGAAGTCAGCCCTCAGTACCATTGGTACTCAGGGTTTGGTACTCAGGGTTTGACTCCCAAACCAAAAGATTTAAAAGAAAATAGTATACAGTGTTCCAAGAGCTCACTCCCCTTCCAAGAGCTCACTCCCCATCAGCATTGCTCCACCGGTGCGTGAATCGTCACCCATTCTCTCCGCCTCACCCCTTCAGCACATTCAGTCCTGCTGGCTGAGTCTCTGGGCTGCTCTGGGCTGGTCTCCTCTAATCTGTGAAGGGGGAAGACCCTTCTGTGTCTGCCCTTCCCTCTGGCTGGCGTCGCTGGACCAGAGATGCAGGAACCCTCTCCTCGATCCACATCGCTCAGCTGCGGGACTGCCTTTCTCCTTCTCGCTGAGTGGTATCGTTCCTCCCAGCTCTTCGTGTGCTCATCCGTGAGTGCTTCCGCTTTCGGTCTATTCTTTAGGTCTATTCTTCTCCATTTCTCGATGTGGATCTGGAAATCTTCATCAACTGAAACATCAGATTTTCCTCTTATACTCAAAAATGTAAGATTCTTTTGAGACCTCTTTGAATAACAAACACACCAATTACCTTGCTAAAAAAAGAAATGTTGTGTTCCTTTTGGGGGCTGATTTTCCAAAGATGAGCAGGTTCTTTCATAGTAGGAAAGCAATTATTCTTCTTCGCCGAGGAGTCTCTGCAAGTGTGAACTCAAGTGTTTTTTTTTTTTTTTTACAATCAGACAGTCATGCAGGAAACCATGAGTAGTTAAAGAAAACTTAGGAAGGACATATAGAAAAGAACACGTTCTTTCTCTGTTCCTGGGATCCTTGTCAATTCTGATCCCAGGCTTGGGAGAAAATATCATTGAGGTGCTTCGAGGCCAAACTGTCAAATGAATTTGAACGTTTTCTCGTGGGTTTTTTTGTCACATTTTCTTTTTTGCATTTTTTCTGCTTTGTGTGGTTACTGTTACTGTTGGAACTGTTTCCCAGAGTCATAAAGTGCTGCTGGTGGTGCTAAGTGAAAAAGAAGTCACTGCACCTTCAGAAGAAAACAGACACACAGACAAGCTTTCATCCAAACATGAGCAGAAATGCTGCGGTTGGCTGTGAGTTCAGTGTTAGCACATCAACAACAAGTTATTAAATTAGGTATCTTGGGGCTGGAGAGATAGCACAGCGGGTAGGGCGTTTACCTTGCACACGGCCGACCCGGGTTCGATTCCCAGCATCCCATATGGGATCCCATCCCTGAGCACCGCCTGGAGTAACTCCTGAATGCAGAGCCAGGAGTAACCCTTGCGCATCGCCGGGTGTGACCCCAAAACAAAACCAAACCAAAAAAATTAGGTATCTTTAAACAGAAACAAACAAAAAAAAACAAGGTTCATGTACGGGATGGAGTGACAGAACAATGGGTAGGGTGCTTGCCTCGCACATAACCACCCCGGTTTCGATCCCTGGCATCCCACATGGTCCCCCCGAGCATCATCAGGAATAATTCCTGAGTGCAGAGCCAGGAGTAACCTCTGAACATCACCCAAAACCAAGATCAAGTAAAAACACCAAAGCAAAAAAATAAAAATAAAATGACCAGAATCGTCAAGGAATCTAGCCCAGATTTTCCCCAGCAGCAATAGTTTAATACTTGCGTTCTAACAACCATATGAGAATCTACTATATTCCCAAACGCTTACGGAGGTTTTCATTAAGACTGTGCGTTCACGTTGTATTGGATTCACACGTCCATACAATGGACTTGAAACATCAGGGGCATCATTTTAGGGGGCTAGAAACAATATAGTGTACAGTAGATAACCTTCCTATACACAGCTGCCCAGAATTTGGTCCCTGGGACCACCAGGAGTGATCCCTGAGCACAGAGCCAGGAGTAATCCCTGAGCACGGCCAGGTGTGGTCCAAAAATCAAAAATCCAAACCAACCCACAGTTTTTGGTTTGTTTTTGTTTTGTGCCCAATGCCCGGTGATGCTCAGGGCTTACTCCTGGCAGTGCTCTGGAGACCATATGGGAGGCTGGGGGTCAAACCCAGGTGGGCCGCATGTAAGGCAAACGCCCTACCTACTGTACCATCGCTCCAGCCCCAACCCAGCCCACATTTAAAAAAAAAATTTGTTGAATCACTGTGAGGCAGTTACAAGCTTTCATGTTTGGGTTACAATCATACAATGATCAAACACCCATCCCTCCACCAGTGCACATTCCCCACCACTAATAGCCCCAATATACCCCCCACCTTTCCCACCCTCCCCCTGCCTCCATGGCAGACATGATTCCCCACAATCTCTCTCTACTTTTGGGCATTATGGCTTGCAATACAGACCCTGAGAGGTCATCATGTTTGGTCCATTATCTACTTCCGGCACACATCTCTCATCCCAATTGATTCCTCCAGCCATCATTTTCTTAGTGATCCCTTCTCTATCCCAGCTGCCTTCTCCCCCAGCTCATGAGGCAGGCTTCCAGCTATGGGGCAATCTATCTGTCCCGTGTACCTACTATCCTTAGGTGTCAGCCTCATGTTATGTTGTTTTTATCCTTCACAAATGTGTGCAGTCCTTCTATGTCTGTCCCTCTCTTTCTGACTCATTTCACTTAGCATGATACTCTCCATGTCTATCCATTTATAAGCGAAGTTCATGACTTCATCTCTCCTGACAGCTGCATAGTGTAGATGTACCAAAGTTTCTTTAACCAATCATCTGTTCTAGGGCACCTGGGTTGTTTCCAGATTTTGCCAGCCCCCATTTTTTTGGGTAAAAAATTTTAAAACTATCTGCTTTATAGGAGTCATTGTTTTAAAAATATTCAAATATTAAATTGACCTTATATTTATACCTTGTGTCAGTTTAGAATTTTTTTTTAACAAAACAGGCTTTAAAATAGGACTGCTTCACAAAGCTAACCTCTAACCACATGTTAGTGTTCTCTTATAGAAGGGCTTAATGGACCCTGGGTGAAATACAACAATCTTCACCCTCTTTCCTCTAAAGATACTTTTTTTTGGTAGCATTTTCAATGTTTTTTCATAACAGACAATGCAAAATACATTATTTCAGTTCTGCTTTGGGGCAGGGATTGGGGTTTGGGATGGAAACACCTGAAATACGGTTGGGGGGAAGATGTAATGGTGGTGGGATTGGTGTTTGAATATTAAATGGAATGAAATATTGTGAGCTACTTTATAAAATTTAAAAAAAATAAAATTGAAAATTAAAAAAAAAAGGAATGCTTGGGGCTGTGATTTAGAGTGGTCAGGGGTGTATCGGCTCAATGCCCAGCACCCGATGGTCTCCTGAGCACCGTGGGTATAGCCCTGGGGCCCCTTAGCACTGCTGGGCTGGTCCTGGTGCCCAGTACCACGAGCCCCGGTAGCAACGTGCCCCCAAGCCCTCGCCTTGAACTGCTGCCCAGCTGGCCCCCTACTGCCAGGAGGGTTCCCGGCTTCCTGAGCACCAGTATGGAGATCTGGCTCCACGGAAAGAAAAGGCTAAAGTCTATACTGTACCTTCCAGGCACAAACCAAACTGAGCACCTATGCACTGAAGGTCGCAGGTGCAAGGGAAAGCAGAGATGGGATTCAAATACAAAGACGGCTAAGGTGCCTGCACATCCCATCACCAAGCACTACAATACAGCGCCTCTCGGGGCGAGGGGCAGACTGTCAACAAAGCAAGACTCCAGCTACCCCGCCTATGTTTCCATGAGCCTGTCCCAGCTCCTAACCCTTTACTGTCCCCTGCTGTGTCCTCAGTCTAG